GGGCCCGCCAGCCACAGAGAGTGGTAGGAAGAGGCTGAGGGGCACAGGGGGGCTCTGGGGTACTCACTGCTGTCCTACCCTCCCCGTGTTCAGTGGTCATTTGGGTGGGCCAAGTCAGGGGCCCTCTGATGTCCTGCTTACCACCCCCGACAGTCCTACCCCGTACTCCCACCCCCCAAAAGCTTGTTGCCATCATAGAAACCCTACAGGACAGGGTAGAACTTCCCCAGTGAGTTTCCGAGACTGTAATCCTTTATGGGTATAGAAAGTCCTGTCTTTCTCCCGAGGTGCAGCTAGTGGTTTTGAACTGCTGACCTTGTAGTTAGCAGCCCACCATGTAACCACTAGGCCACCAGGGCGCCTTACTTACCATGTAGCCTTTTATCTGAGTCCCAGTCTGGAATCCGGACTCTTGCTCCGGGCCCGTCAGGGGTGAGGCGGCCATCAGGATTGGAGTGGACGCCCCTCCCCATGCCCCTGTACACTCACATCCTCACCTCTGTCTGCTCACCACGAAGCCGGCTCTCTTTAGGGTGGCTGCTCCCCCACGCACCTCCCCCACTGACTGGTACACTCTTTGAAGGTGAGGCGAGACCCTCGTGGTGGACGCAGAGCAGTGATTCAGTGAGTACAAGAGGCAGGCCTTGAGGACAAGGCCCACTGCCTTCCCTTGGGGTGGGTAAAGCCCCCCTCCATCTCCCCGCCACAGTCTACATGCCCACCCAGAGCCACGGATCAGTCCCAGTCCCTCATGCCCAACCGCCCACTGAGGGCCCAGGGGCCAAGGCAGCAAGGGCGCACAGGGGTGGGGATGGGAGGGCTGGGTAGGGGTTGGGGGGAGGGCTGGACAGGGCAGCCCCTTACTTACAGGAGGGTAACAGCTTTACCATCAGTATTGGGTAGGCTATGAAGCTACAGCCAGTGCTGGTGCCGCAGTGCCTCAGGCACTCTGAAGGCACAACACAAGCCACTTTATCTAGAGAGAGAGAGCGCACGGTGTGAGCGTGTGGGTGATGTTAGTGGCCCATGGAGCTGGCCTCCCCACGCGGCAAACTCTTCCTCACCCCCCCTCCCATCTCTTTGGCCACAAAGCCAGGGGTCAGGGGACTCAAGTGCATGTCTCCTCTGGGTCTTGCTGGGAAGCTCCCTGGGGCAGACCAGCTGGCACAGGAGACACTCGGTGGGGCTGTCCAGCTGGTGGGCTCAGAACGAGGAGCCAAGAGAGGACCTCTGGCCCCCGAGGCTGCAGTCCCCTCGCCAGCATCCAGCTCCGTCTGCTGGGGGAGGGGAACAGTGGAGCAGGGCTAGAGTGGGTGACGCTGAGGAGGTCCCTCCATCATAAGCCTGGGAGGTGCCAGGCCGACTGACGGGTGTCCTTTTGGTTTCCCTCACACCGCCTACACCCTGATGCTCCAAGAGCCGTGGTGCCCCTCTGTGGGCTTGGCCGCCTCTCAGGACTCGAACGCGCTTCCCGACCCGTCTCCCCAAATGCTGGTCCAGGAACCTCAGGCCACCTCTGGGTCAGAAGTTCTGAGTGTCTGGTCCCTCTGGAGGGAGAGGAAGCAGCAGGTCCAGATGTGGACCGCACCTGCCACTTAGCAAGGAAAAGCCTTACCCGTTTCACCTGGCCTGGTCAGGAGTGTCAAGCTCAGGCCCCAGGGGCAGGCCTTACTCTGTCTTCAGGGCGCCCCCAACAGCTGCTACCTTGAGCAGACGACCAACCCACTGCCACCGAGTTGTTTGCAGCTCACAGTCCCTCTAGGGCAGGAGCCCAGGCTGTGAAGCTTTACTAAGCAGCCAGACCTATCCGTCTCCCTTGGAGAGGCTCGTGGGCTCGAACTGCCAACTGTGAGATTAGCAGCCTACTCCTCAACCTACCACATCTGCACGGCTACTTTACCAGATAGGACTACCAGGCTTTCCTGAGCCCCCTTGGTGGGCCAGTGCTTCTGCAGGGGACCAGGGAGGTCTTCCCACATTCAGTGTGAAGTGGGTGGACCTCAGGGCCCAGTGGCACCCCCTCTGCTGAGCATCATCTGCTCACGGGGCTGTGAGGGGCCACCTGCTGATGCTGGGTGGCAGGGCAGGGCCCTGAGTATACCAGCAGATGACTGTGCCCCAAGGGAGGCACCCTGGTCTGCCCTGCTGACCAGAACTGGCCTCGTGGAACTGATGCTGACCGCATACTCGGCCAGTCTGCCGGGCCTCTGCTGTGCTGCACACTTGCCAGCCGGCGCCCCCTCTGGCAGTGTGCTGCCCTCACCAGTGAACAGGACACGGCTGATCATCCCAAGCATGACGATAGTGAACATGGCCAGCAGCTTCAGGTACCCGCACAGGATGCAGCTGGCCCTCACGTGATTCAAGCTCTTCCCTGCCAGGCACTGCTGGACCACCACCTGCGGGAGACACGGGGGAGGACTGGGTGATCGATCACCGGGTGGCAGGTGGGGGGGGTGGGGGGGGCACAGGTAAGGGCAAGGCTCCCTCAGGAGGCCCTCTTGGGGTGCTCAGTGAGCACTCTAGGAGTGCCGTTGTCCTTGTTGCTGGCACTGCATCCCCAGCAGGTGACATGCTGTTCCCAGCAGGAAGGACACTCCCTCCTGGAGGCCACAGATGGCCCCTGTTGTCAGAAATAAGAGGGCTCCTGGGACACCAATCAGAGCAGAGGTGGCTCCTGGCAACAAGGGAGCGCCTGGCATGGGGACTGGCTTTGTTCATCCATGTGGCAGGGGCTGAGCAAAAACCTCACTCAGGCAAAGCTTTCCTGGCAGGGGCCCAGACTCAGGCTACCCTGGAACAGCAGCCTGGATTGGGGTGGGGTGGGGAAGCTAGAAGGGGGCTTTGGCAGTACCTTTGAACAGTGAGGTCTGCAGGCTTATGAAAAACTGGGTTCTTGGAACCAAAATTAACCCAAATTCACTGCCATCAAGTCCATGCCAACTCCCAGGGACCCTGAAGGGCAGGGTAAAATTTCCCCTGTGGGTTTCTGAGACTGTAACCCTTTACAGCCATAGAAAGCCTCATCTGTCTTCCTCAGAGAGGCTGGTGGTTTTGAACCTCTGACTTTGCGGTTGGCAACCCAACATGTAATCACTCCACTACCAGGGCTCCTGTGTCCTGGGAAGTACATCTAAATAATTGCCCCACCGGTGGAGTGGGTAAGACCGAGGGTGGGGGTGCAGAGGGGAAGCACAGCAGGGGGTTCACTCTCTTCTTTGCAGGTGTAGGCCTGTCCCTGGGGAAGGACATCATGCTTGGTAACATGGAGGGCCCTCAAAGAGATGGGCGGACATAATGGCTCTAACAATGGGCTCAAGCACACGAACCACGGCGAGGGAGGTGCAGGACTGACTGGGCAGTGCGCGCCCTGCTGCATGTACGGTCGCTGTGGTTCAGAACCGCCTCGATAGCCACCCACACGAGAACCTGACACAACAACTGCACTGTTTGGTGAGGTGCCCTCGTGGCGCAGAGGGTTAAGCAGTGCGCCGTTAGCTGTTCTAAGACAGGCGAGGTTGTGTGCGCTGTTAAAGATCCCTCTAGGGCAGTTCTGCTCTGAGCGGGTCACTGCGCGTCAGAACCGACTCCGTGGACTTGAGTTTGGGGGTTTATTGTTTGGGTAGGCTCCCTGGTGGCACTGTGGGTTTGGCGTGGGTCTGCTAGTCAAAAGGCCAGTGATTCCAACCCACCTGCTCCATGGTCACCCGAGAGAATAAAGCTAAAAATGATGGATGTCTTCAGTAAACCCATCTCAGGAAGAAGACGGGCCACTCGCTGCAGGGGTTTCTAGCCCGAGTCTTAACTCCCACTCAGCCACCTTTCCCTGCGTGGATGGGTCTGGTGAGGTGGGAGCAGATGCTGATAGGATTCACCTCTGAATAATTGCAAACGGGATTCCCTGGAGTGCCATCCTGCCAGGTATAAAATGAGCCCTCTGAGAAGCAGGTGGGGGGCGGGGTGGGGGGATGTCATTAGCAGCAAGAGCCAGGAGTAGAACATGTCCTCTGGACCTGAGATCCTTATGTAGTGAACCTCCTGGATCCAGAAGACAGCTACAACATTAGAGGTGCATCAGTAGAACCGGAGCCAGAGCATGGAGCAGAGTGATGGACTCCCCAACCCTCGGAGCAAGAAAAGCCAGGTGCTCTGGAGCAGGAGGCTGGCTTGCGGAGTAGGGTGCCTCTGGGCACTTAATTGGGGCAGTTGGACTTGCAGACACACAGAACTTGAGCTTAATGCTTCGGGGTTGGAGCCTACAGTGGAGTGGCATGCCCCATGGCACATTTATTAGCCTACTTGGAACATGTCTTGGTAAACAACTACCCTGAGCATCATGAATGTTGTTCACAAGTTCTGTGTAGCCATTGTGAGGGATCTCAGAGCACAGAGAACATCAATTACATCTGCACAGGAGCAGAGCCAGGCGTGTAGTTGCCATGGCAGCACTGGCCACAGGGACACCTGGTGGACATAAGAGTCCCCACGTACCTGATCAATGCAACAGGAGTACAGGGTCAGGGTGGAGAGGCCAAACACAATTCCTGGCCAGGGAAGGTCTCCGTGGATGGCGTGTCGGAAGATGTGGAAGGAGTCTGGGCGCGGGGTGTAGCACTCGGGCCTGGCCGTCCAGTTCCCCTCGCTGATGATGCTTGGGATGGCGTTGGGGTAGCTCCTCCGGAGGCCCTGGTATCCTCCCACATCCTTAAAGGCTTATAGAGCACGACATGGATCAGAAGGTGGCCGGGCACAATGGCACGAGTCTGAAGGGCCTGTGCTGAAAGGTCCAACGTGCCCTACCGTGACTGCTGTGGGAGGTGGGGACTGACGGGAGAAGACCAAGCCTAAATCTCATGCGCGCAAGGGATGGTGGTCTCTGCTAAAGAACAGGACACGTCCAGGGACGCCGTAGGGCTGTGGACCCAGCGCCCCACCTACTCACACAAGAGCCTCCCCCCACTCTGTGGAGGTGGACTGGCACAGTGACCCCACCTGGACAACAGCTGCTGTACCAGTGATAGGACTGAGAGCCACGTTGGTCTCAGATGGACTCACGGGGACCCTAGAGGGCAGGGTATAACGGCTCCCGCGGCTTCCCGAGACCATGATTCTTTACGGGAGTAGAAAGCCCCATCCTCTCCCTCAGAACCGTTGGTAGTTTCTGACCCGGTTGGCGGCCCAATGCAGAACCACTCATCCACCAAGGCTCCTACAAGATTTCGGAGGGAACTTAAAAAGTTCCTGGAATTTTTCATGATTTCTTTCACTCCAGTTTTACAAGAGCTATCTGGGGCTTCCATGTATATTTTAACAGAGCCCAAGCATTCCGTTGGGCTGCTTGTTTTCTCCACCACCTACAGGAATCAAAAGGATATCCAGTGGCCCAGTGGGCTAAGTGTTGCGCTACTAGTCAAAGGTTGGTGGTTCAAACCCACTAGCCACTCTGAAGGAGAACCATGAGGCGGTCTGCTCCTGGGAAGAATGCCTTGTCATCCACGTCTGCCCTGTGCCATGGGGTGGCTGTGAGTCCGCATCGGCTTGGGGGTCCTGGGGTTTTTGTCTTGTTTGGGAAGTGGGGGTGAGGATGCCACGGGTGTCTTATTTTTGCAGTTACTTGCTTTCTTCCTTCGGCACTCCCTGACTAGGCTATCCTTCAAAGGGCTTTGGGCCCATCTCAACCATCAAGTCTATTTTGAAGGAACACAGCTTCCTGGGGCCAAACTGGCGGCGCAGGAATGAAGACTCTAGGGGAGAGGAGCGTGGCGCTGCGGATGGCCTTTGTCTGTCACGCCTCGCCTGAAATGTAATGCAAGCACCCCGCAGGACGGGTCTCTCAGGACCACCTGTGTCTGGATCGACAAGCTGGTCTATTCTGAAAATAAGACCATCGCCTCCTTCCATATCAAAAGAATGAACACACACCCCCCCACAAGAAAGAGCCCCGGTCGGATGTCTCAACAAGGAAACATTATTTACATGCAATGATTTAGGGACTCCATAGCTAGCGTGAAATGGAATGTTTCACCTGCTTCTGAAACGTCTATTTGGATTTCACCACCACCCACCCACGATGCCGAGGTGTACCTGCCAGGTTTTAAATGTTGCCGTGTAACACTTCCACTGGTAAGGAAACCTGTCCTGTCTGATCACGTTAGTTCCCAGGCCATCCGGAAGCTCCCTGGATCCTGTGTGACGTGGACTCGATGTCACGCGACACAGCACAGGGTATGTGTCCTGGAGGAGGCATGCCTGCAGGCTGTGGGCCTCCGGCTCTCTCCATTCTCCTTCCATGGGGGCTCAACAGCACGCCCCCGATGGAGCTAGCCCGGCGGATGATATTCTCACACTGACCCAGGAGGCCCTGCGCTGTCCAAGTCATGGACTTTTCCTTCTCGCTTTCTGCAAGACTAGGGCTTCACCTTTGAAGCAGCCGTGACACCGGCCTCTTTAAGGTCGCATGGGAATGCCCACTGTGAACCAGGCTCTCTGCCCATTCACGATCTCGGGAAGACGAACGGCTAGAGCTCAACTGCTACCCTAAAGGTTGGGGGTTCCAAGACAACCAGACGTACCAGGAAACCAAGACCTGGGCATCGGCTCTGGTGATGCTCACGGGCAAGAAAACGCCGTAGAGCAATTGCACGCAGCAGCACGTGGGGCTGCAGTGAGTTGGTGGCCACCACAAACCTACCCCGAGCCGCACTGAGGTCTGAGCCAGGTCACATCGTGGGCTTGGGTGTTTCTCAGAGGGAGCTCTGAGTCCTGCTCTGGGTCAGTCCCATGGGCAAGGCACTTGAGACTCAACTTCCTCCTCCGTCACACAGAGGGGACAGTAGTAGTTGTCCTTCCTGGTGACTGTGAGGAGCAAACGCAGGGATACACACAAATGCCTTGCTTGGTATCTGACACACAGGGAGAGAGTGACACACACAGGATATCGGCCACACAATCCTTACAAGCGACTGTGTTCACCCTTGTGGCGTTGAAAAACCTACTATGTACCTTCCTGTGAACTTCGTGTGGGGGAAACAATGGTTCTGGCTCTTTACAAGTCTGGGGCTTGGGGTGACAAGATTTGCTTATGTGACAGTCGATGAAGAGTCAGGGACATGCCCACAAAATGTTAAGCTGTGTGGCAGTGACAGGAGCTGAGAGGAGCATCTGCTGATGGAATCACCATGTATCCCTTAGTTGCATAATCCGGTGTCAATTGGGGACTTGAGAGGATTAAGAGGGAAGGGGTGGAGTCTAGTCTGTCAATCAGGTCATAGCCAATGAGGCCTCTGTGTGGGCGTGGCCTTCTCCTGAGAATTCTGGGAGCTCCTGTATTTTCTTCTTTGGGGACGGGAGACACTTTCTCTCCTCACTCCCTTGAAGACACTCTACTGACAAGACACATGGCCCTATACTGATAGAGCCCGTGTCCTGGGAACTGGAGGAGCCACGTGGTGACCCCTGCCAGCGCTTAGATGTTTACAACACCACTGGATCCAAAGACTTTCTACCACTGGCCTGTGATCGTCCTGCACTCGGGAATCATTGCATGTATGCTGTGAGTCTGAAGAGGACTTTATAGGTTGGTATAAGACATATGGGCTAACATTGGACTTATGCGCTTGGTCTGGACTGGGCTGTCTTTTCAATATTCAACTGCTCTTATCTATAAAGTTCTTTCTTATACACATGAGTGTCTATGAATTTGTTTCTCTAGTCTACCCAGACTAACACATGGGTGACTCTGACCTTGAAAGGTGGGTTTCATGGGGTGGATCAAAGGAGATGTGGGGGCAGGGGGTCTACGTGGAAAGGCACAGAGGTGAGGCTGAGTGTGATGCACCCCAGTGCTGGATGACTCCAGAGCATGGCTTTCTCTTCTCTCTTCCTATCACCCGGCGCCTCCTTCTCAAAGGCTTGGGGCTCTGCCCGTCTACTTCCCATGCATCCTTGGATGACACTCGGGGTCCTGGGCACCTCATTCTCGTCAGCTGCGAGACAGGGATGCTAGAGCGGCCTCAGGCAGCTCCCAAATTCATAAGTTTCACCCACATTCCCAGGATTCTCAAGTCTACTTACCAAAGATCATTAACAGGATGGATCCCCAAAACATAACAAGCCCGTGTAAGGTATTGGTGTAAATCATAGTTATGAAACCACCTGAATGGGAAAGAACAAAGAAGAAAAAGCATCTTTGACCCTCTGTTGAAAGTCACTCTGGTACCACCTTTTCCTCTTTTTATTTATTTTTTTTTAAATCTGAGATCTCTATAGTGAGTTGAATGCTTTTTCGTTTGGGAGGCCCTGTGGAGTGTGAGGAAGGTCAGCTGAGCTGCTAACTTAAAGGTTGGACTCCGCCCAGAGGCGGCTTGGGTAAAAGGTCTGGTGAGTGAGCTACTTTTGAGAAATCAGCCACTGGGAATTCCTGAGAAGCATGATTCTCTTCTGATGCACACGGTGAACCACAGCTAGCTCCAAGGCATCCAGTCACAGGTGTTATAACTGCTCAGGCTTAGCCTCTGGGAGCCCTAGTGGGGTAATGGTTACATGTTGGGCTGCTAACCATGAGGTCAGCAGTTTGAAACCACCAGCCACCCCGAGGGGGAAAGATGGGGCTTTCTATACTCCCGTAAAGCGTTAGCCTCGGAAACCCACTGGCGTGGTTCTACCCTATCCTGTAGGGTTGTCATGAGTCAGAATTGACTCAACGGCAGTGAGTTAAAACAAAAATAAACACACAAAAAGGGCTTGATACAGCCTGTTTTCTCTCTTTCACCTTCTCTGTGACCTCTACTTGACCCGGCATGAGGTCCTTCTCCAGAGACCGGCCTCTCCTGATAACATGTCCAACGTACAGGAAGCCTTGCTTCTAAGGAGCACTCTGGTTGAACTTCTTCCAAGACAGATATTTTCCATTCTTTTGGCATCCGTGGTTGTTGTTCTTGTTGTTGGTAGGTACCCGGTAGTCAGTGCTGACTCAGGAGTCCCATGCACAACAGAACCTAACACTGCCTGGCCCCGCACCATCCCCACAGTGGTTTTTACGTCTGAGCCCATTGCTGAACCTCCGTGTCACCCATCTCATCGAGGGCCCTCCACTTGACCGAGCAGGATGTCCTTCTGCAGGGACTGGCCTCTCCTGACAGCACGTCCAAAGTACATGAGACCAAGTCTCCCCCTCCTTGCCTTCAAGGAGCATGCTGGCTGTACGTCTTCCAAGACACATCTGTTTGTCCCGTTTGCAGTCCACGGTACTTTCAATATTCTTTGCCAGCACCGTAGTTCAAACGCATCGATGTTTTCCTTCGGTCTCCCTTTATTCAATGTCCAACTTTTATATGCACAGGAGGCGATTTAAAATACCATGGCTTGGGCCAGGTGCATCTCACGCCTCAAAGTGACAGCGTTGCTTGTCAACACTTTATAGAGGTCTTGGGCAGCATGCAAGGTACACTTGATAGCCTTTGCCAACACACCATGCTTGGTAAAGTAGAAGATCAGCAGAAAAGTGGAAGACCCTCAGGCCGATGGGCTCAAACCAACCAACTGTGAAGACGGCTCGGGACCGGGCAGTCCCTTCCTCTGTTGTTTGTAGGGTGGTCGTGAGTTGGGACTGACTGGACAGGACCTGGTAACATGATATCTTCCCAGGGCCTTCTCTCAATCCGCCCCCCTCTGTCTGGACGACATGCCAGTCTGTGAGTTTCCCTAAGCAAAGACGGACATAGTAAATCACAAAAGCCCAGCTTGGAGGTGTCTGTAGAGTCCATGGAGTTCCGTCTTTCCACCCCTACCTCACTGTCTTTTCACGCAAAACCCCTAAACCGGGCTCTCCGTGTCGCCGAGCCCCTTAGCCCCCAGCACCGTAACAGGTGTCTTCGGGAAGGGCTCTCGGGCTGGGAAGGTCCTCCTTCTGGAGCAGATACCAACCACCCTAAGATGTCCAGCCCTCGGGCCGATGGACCCTCAAGCTTTAGTCAGAATCCAGCTGGCTAACTCCTTGTCTATAGGACCACCTTGCAAAGGCTTGAGGACAGCCTGCCTGGCACCCACCTCCCCTATTCGGGGACAGGCTCCTGCAACTCTTTTGCCAACCAAAGGGCTTACATGCCCTCTAACTGCAGCCGGGGAGCCTCCAGACCCCACCTGGAAAGACCTCACAGAGGAGGGGGTGACTCCAAAAAGTTCATGGGAAAACGGAATGAACAGAAAATGGAATTTTTCCATGAGCTTTCTGAAGCTCTCTTGGATTGGTGGGTGTCCGCGGGCTTCCAGGAGATTCTCTTCTTCCCCTCCATGCACCACTTGTTTAGAAAGAAACCCTTTGCCACGATAAAAGCTTTATCCCTTTAATTGCAGGAGGATGCTCACGTATATATCCCAGTGCCCAAAGGCCCCACCTCATCCAGCTCCTGGGTCACAAAGTCCAGGAGCTTGTCACCAATTCAAGTGGCCATCTGGCAGTGGGTAGGAAATCCCATTTCCCCATGATTCGTTACAGGTGTCTCCCCCAGAATAGTTCTAAGCCCTATAAAGCTAGTCAGTCACCGGCTTAGCTGGGTAATCCCTCTCTGTGCCTCCACAACGTGTCCCCTGCAGACTGCAGACGAGGGTGCTCCTGGACGGCTCTGGGCGTGGCTCCGATGGCTGGGTCTGGGCCCGCCCTCTGCACGCACTTCAAGACAAACACCCTTGCACTGCCTTCTCAAGTTTGCCTGCTGGGTAAACCTGAGCTTTACAGGCTTTCATGCTACAAAGCTGTAGCTTGGGAGTAGCCGGAGTGTGGCCCACTGACTGTTCTGAAGGTAAAGTTTTATTGGGGCACAGCCACACCATTTACCTACCGGCCGTGGCTGCTTCACATGACAGTGGCAGAGCTGAGTAGCAAAGACAGGGCAACCTCCCATCTGGCTCGTTACAGCCCATGTTGGCTGTCCTCTGATTTGTTCTCGTGATATAAGAATTCCCAACCTCGACACTCTTAGGTCACGGTGGACTGAGTAATTCTGCCAGCGGCAGGGGGGTGGGCTGTCCTGAGCACTGTGGATGTTAAGCAGCATCCCTGACCTTCTTCCAGTAGCAACCCCCCACCTGTGACAACCCCAAAGTCTCCAGACCGGGCTGAATATCACTGCACTGCACTGTGGTGGTGAACTGAAGGGGTCAGGGCAGGTCTGCTGGGGGAGTTTTGTGTGTGAAAGGTTTATATTAGGTCCTTCCCATGCAGATGAGTGGCCAGAAGCCTGTGCCAGCCTCCAAGAGTGGTTGTGTGGCTGTGGAAGGGAGCAACGTGGACTCCTACTCTCAAAACCCAGGCAAGGACAGCTAAGGCAAAATAGCCCCTCAGAGAGAGCCCACTTGCTAGTCTGAGCAACTGACCTAAGGGTCTTGCTTCCACCTCATTTCCTTTCTGTGTGTGGGAGCTCCATAATCTGGTGTCAACTTGAGAATATTAAAAGTGAAGGGGTGGAGGTTAGCCTGTCATGTCAATCAGGTTGCTTGTTGCTTGATGACCTCATTGGGAGGTGGCATGGAGAGAAATAGCTCACTGGAATCAGAACACACTCTCTCCCCACTTTGTCTTTCTCCTGAGAAGACACATGGAGTGATGCTGATGATCCACGAGACCTTCCACCCACTAGCCTGTGACCTTCCTGTGCTCGGCGTCATTGCATGTGCTGCCTTAGTCTGAAGAGGAGTTTATAGACTGGTATTGGACATATGGGCTAATATCAGACTTATGGACTTGATCTGAACTGGGTTGGGATGCTTTCTTAATATACAGTTGCTCTTTGATATAAAGTTCTCTCTTACACACGAGTGTCTCTGGATTTGTTTCTCTAGTCAATCTGGACTAACACACTATGTCAGCCCACAGCTACAGGCCCTGCTCCATGCACACACTATCACCAAGTTGATCCACTTTCTAGAGGTGAGATACCACTTAGCAGCACCCCCTTGCCTCCTTTACTCTCACTGTTGGTTCAGCCCCCTCAGGCCTTGGCAACCAAGGCTTTGGTGTCAACGGACATACCTGTGTGGTCAGAGGTACCTCACCTGTGATGGTATAAATGCCAGAGACTGTCAGCAAGATGAGAATAGCGAAGTAGACATCCAACCCCATAATCAGTCTCATGAACAAAGCACAAGAAACGATATTCACCTGCAATGATATCAAGTCACCATGCTGCTTGTCAATTGCCAACGTATCAGAAACAACTCCATGAAGAAACCGACCCCAGAAGCATCTGCAAGAGGCACTCTGGGGTCGGCATGCCAATCCCAGCTCTAGAGGACCCAAAGTTAGGTCTATTTTGTGTTGGGCAATGAGGCTTGTAACCCACGGCCTGAGTTCAGTCAAGGTCGAAACCAGTAGGGTGTGAGTTGATGTAATGAACCTAGTTAACTCAATTCAGCCTCTTCCTCCCCTAAGAGTGGAAGAGTGGGGGGAGCTCAAGTGGGGAGGATGCTCAAGGAACTGCCCCCTGAGTTCTTGCCGGTGGTAAGGGGCAGAGGCTTACGGATCAGAGATCAGCAGGCTTTTACTGTAGAAGACCCAAGGGAGTTAGGGTAAGCTTTGTGGGTTATGAGCGCTCTAGTGGCACAGCAGGTTAGGCTTTGGGCTGCTAAACAAAAGGTTGGCCGGCTGCTCCTTGGGAAAGAGGAATCTGTCTGCTTCCATAAAGGTCCACAGCCTCAGAAGCCCTATGGGACATTTCTACTCTATCCTAAGTGGGAATCAAATCCACAGTAGAGGGGTTTGTGGATTACACATCATCTCTGTTGCATATTTTCCTCTGTTTTCTTTTCTGGTTGTTGTTGTTGCTGTTGCTAGCAAAACTCTGCAGCCCATTTTGAGCTCAGAGATTGTACCAAGCAGGCCATTGGCCACATGAAGTTTGCAGGTTGGGTTGCATGACCTCCGGACTTAGCGGACACAGGTTTTGCAGCAGCTCTACACGTTATCTAATCGACTCATGTCTCAATTGCTTTTCTGGCCTCCAACGCTGATGAAAAGTTGTCTCAACTTCATCCATCCACCTATTGACTCTATATTGAGGACCGAGCATTTAGGAGAGCCTGGAGAGGTCCAGCAGATACCTACCAAACCCCAGTCACTGTCCTCTAGATGCTTCCATTTAGAGAAAGAGACACAGGCAATTTCTACACAGTGTGATAGGTGACACTGATTCAGCCATCAAAGGACATGGGACCACTAAGCATCTGAGCTGACACCTAAAGACAAGTGAGATTTCTGCACTGGGCACTGCAGTGAATGGGCCAGGATAGGCTGTGCATGTAAAGTTCACAGTGAAATGGAGAGAGCAAATTCTAAGGCAGTAAGCACATAAAGGATAAACTACAAAGAAAACAGAATGGATTAATGGTATAGAGATTGACTGGACCAGCCAACAATGGTTTCCCTGACAGGTGGTATTTGAGCTGAATAATGGGGAGTCAGTCAGGCCCACCCACGTGAAAGAATAATGGAGGGAGAGGACAGAGCTAATGTACAGGGCTGAGTATGCTGTGTTTGAGACAATAGGAAAGGCAGTGCAGCTAGGTGCTAGGGATCGATGGACAGGGAATGAAGTGATAAAGCCAGAGAGGTGGCCAATTAGAGCAGGCTAGCCTTTAAAGTCATAGAGAGAAGTTTTGGTTTCCATGTAAGGGTGGTGGAAACTCTTGGCTTGTTTTAAGCCTGGAAGTGAGGGTTATATGATGTGGATGATCTCAGGGGTCAAGGAAGGTACCTGCGACCTAGCCTCAAGAGGGAGAGAAGAAGCTCTGTCTTTTATTCTTTGCAAAGGATGCTTCAGCTACTTGTTTTCTCCTCTGGCATAGACAGCAGAGGCCAACAAGTCACTCCTGGGGACCAGGAGTGAACGGCTGGTGTAAATTTAGCCTAATTCTATCTACTGAGTTTTTTCTCTCTTTCTTTCCCTTTCCCCCACCCCCATCCCCTACTTGGGCTGGGTTTGACGTAACTCACTGATATCCTATTGAAAACATAGAGGCATAGAGTTAGAATCGAGAAGAAAATGTGGATCCTGCAGCCACCGAACCTCTTCTTCAAATATTCTGACACCGTCACTACCTGCAGAAGCAATGAGAGAAGTAACGTCACTCAATGGCCACTGGGAGGGGCAGGCCCCCAGGGAGAAGCCAGGCTGACATAGTGCTGATTGTCACAGAGACTCAGTCCTTGGGGTCAACAGTCCCTTGAAGGGGGGCAGGCAAGGCCCAGGAATACCAGGGTCAGGGCCACCGATCCTAACTGCATGGCATGTGCTCAGGTGGGAGATATCAGAAAGCAGAAGCAATACCACTGCCTCCAGGAGGTATGGAGTCTAGCTTCTTGTGCAACCTTTGAGGCAAAAACACCCAAGCTCTTTGAAAATCAAGCTTAATGATGACAAATCATTTTTGTGAAACGGGGCAAAATCACTTTCTATAAATGCAGAAAATGCTCAAGGAAGATACCGTTTCCCAATGGGGTCCTAGTACCCCACTGCTGTTCATTTCTGCTACTGTCATGTCAGGCTGCACAGGGAACAGGCCCTCTTGGGTCACTACAGTGCTGGCCCCAGTACAGTGTCTGGCTCATAGCAGGTGAGTGCTTGGTGGTTGAATGGATAGTGTGTGGCCTTCTGACCTGAATATGCTCATTTGCTCTTGCTCACTTGCCCAAGAATTCTCCAATTTTCACTTCTAACTCAAAGTCTATCTGCTCCATGAAGACTCACCTGGGGTGGGGGGCTGCCTAGGAGCACTCTACTGTCTTCTAACCCCCCTCCCCGCCATATCTTTTAGTGTCGTTGCTTTCCATTGAGTTCTTCATTCCAGAAGACCATGTAGGGTTCACTTTCTCAGTTAGGTTCTCAGCTTCGCAGGCTGCCTTACACTTACTAATTAATTTAAATAATGAGTAGAAAGTGCCCTGACAGAGGGCCTGGCAAGTTGTGAGAGCAAGGTAAGCACGTGGGGTCACCCCCTCCTGCACAACCAACCCTGCCAGACCAGTGTCTGAGCAGGTGCTAAGGAGACAGGAGTGCTCAAACACCAGGCAATGCATTTCTCCAAGGTACCCTGAGACTGAGCAGGAACCACCCCACCCCCACCACCCCCACCCCCAAGTTGATGAAATCCAATTGCTTCCTTTATGGTTTGGGCTTCTTCTACCCTGTAGAGGCCATTGAACTCAATAATCTTCATTACAAAAGACTGTAGTGAAATGCAAATAACCTCAAGGGGACCATTTTAACCATTAAACAGTGCAGGATTCAGTGGCATTTCACCTATTCACATAGTTCCACAATATGTTCATCACCATAAAAAGTAACCCTGTGTCCACGAAGTACCTCTGCAACAACTATGAATCTCTCCACCTGGGTTCAGCTATTCTGGCGGATTCATTTCAACAGAATCCTACATCGTGTAACCCTTTGTTTGGGGTCAGGTTTCTTTCACCTAGTATAAGGTTTATCTATGTTGCAGTATATCTCAGTACCACGTTCCTTTTTATGGTATAGTGAGTTAAGCACGGGACTGCTAACACAAGGTTGGTGGTTCCAACTCATCTGCAGTTCCAAAGGAGATAGAAGAGGCTGTCTCCTTTCAGAGATATTTATAGTGCCAGAAATCCCAAGGACAGGTGCTACTCTGTTCCCGTAGGGTCAATAGGAGTCAGAATAGATTCCCAGGTAGTGGGTTGGTTGGACACCACTTACGTTGATCCATTCATTGGCTGATGGATATTTGGATTTGGTTTCCATCTTGGCCATTGGGAGTGATGCTGCTGTGAACCCCTGCATGCACATTTTCCTCCAACATTTACTTTCAGGTATGTACCTAGGAATGGAACTGCTAGGTCATGTGGCAATTGTTGAGGAATTGCTAAACTGTCCACTAAAGTGGCTGCTCCACTTGACGTTCCCACCAGCAATGCATGAAGGTTCCAATTTCTACATGTCCTGGCCAACCCCACATTCTCAGGTTGCTTTCTCCCCATCCTAACGGGTATGAGGTGGTTTCTCCTTGTGCTTCTGACTTTCAATTACCTCATGTGGTAGTTACATAATTTCATGTCAACCTGAAGATATCTAATAGTGTAGGGGTGGTATTCAATCTGTCAATCATGCCACAACCTGAGGGTGCCTCTTTGTGGGCATAGCTTTCTCATAACAAGAGTCCTGGGAACCGCCCCCCCCCCCTTTCCCCGACTGCCCTTTCCTGCTGATGAGCCATGCTGAGACCTGGCCAGAGCCCTGTGATGTTTCCACTGCCACTGGATTCACAGGACTTTGCACCCACCAGCCTGTGATCTGCCTACATCCTGAATGCATCATTGCATGTGGCTCTGAGAGTCTGAAGAGGGATTTGTGGACTAGTATCAGGCATATGGACTTGATCCGGACTGGGCTGGGATGTTTGCTTGATAGAGGATTACTTCTTGACATACAGCTCTATCTTCCACATATACGAGTGTCACTGAATTTGTTTCTCTAGTCAACCCTGCCTAACATATCTAGTGAATAATTGAACATTTTTCAGGTGTTTGTTGGTCATTTGTATATCTTCATTTTTAAGATTGTTTTAGCTATTTGGTGGGGGCGGTTCTCATGAAACTCCATATTAGGCTCAGTTTTCCCACCGCTGCTAAAAAGGCAGTTGAGATTTCAACAGGGGTTTCATTGAATCTGTAGCTCATTTTCATGGTGAGTAATGTCATCTTAATATTAAGGGTTTAAGCCCAAGAGTGCAGGGCGTTTTTTCCATTTATCTGAACCTTTTAAAATTTCTTTCAGCACTGTTTTGTAATTTTCCATGTACAAGTCTCAAACCCACTTGGCTACACTTATTTTACATGTCTGATGCCATTGTAAATTAAACGATTAAATTTGCTTTCATGATTCATATCCTGAGATACCACTGATTTTGCAAAACCGTTTTATTGATACATAATTCCAACCTATTAGAAAGAGCTGGGTAATCATCACCACCATCAATTTTAGGATTTTTCTCTTTCCTTGTACTTGTTGCTGTGAGCTCCCCATTTCCCACCAATCTCCCTTACCTTGCCCCTGGGAAATTATCAATCCAGTTGCTGTCTCTATTGATTTACCTATCCTGGAATTCATATACAGAAAAATATACAAAATTACAGCCTACATAAATAAACATCCTAACAACGACAGCAAAAACAGAGAAAAACCTCAATTGGAAATAAGCAGAAAATATTAAAAATTAGAACAAATATACATTGTGTCAAAAGGGAGATCAAATGATAAGGTTGTTTGGGCCGGTCCGGACCGGGCAGCCCCCCACCTCCTCTCTGGCTCCTCAGGAACATGAACCTTCACAGCCCCATTCCCAGCCTCTCAGATGAATGACCTATTGAACTATGCAACTCCTGCCCCAGCACCCCAGGAAGCTATTTACCTTCCCAGGTGGATCTGCGGAGCCCCTTTCCCAGCACTTCAAAGAGTAGGTCTGCAAACAACAAGGTAGCCTCCCACCAATCGCATCCCGATTTAAGATCTCGCAGCTGCAAGCAATAAAGTAATAAAGATTCTCCCTTCTGTTAACATATATTTCCTTAGCTTGGACCCTGTATAACTCCCACCGCCTCTCCAGACAAGCTGCAAGTCCCCTGACCTAACTCGTGTCCCTGTCCCTTTCTCTGCTCTCCCTTCCCTCCCGGGAGTTCTTTCCCTCCCTCAATAAAATCTTTCTCAACTTCACACTTCTGGCTAAATTCTCTCTCTGTTCTGCTCCTCCATCTCCAACCTCTCAACAGTGTCACATTTTAGCCTAACCACAAATGCAGTAACCCACCCTTCAGTGCACTCTGTCTGATAAACAAGGTCAATCCCCCCGGGACAGGAGGAAGTCCCTGCTCCCAGGGTCCCTGCTCTAGTACTTTCTACATGGTGGCCAAGACATAGTGGGAGGGAAAAAACCAACACACCCCAAGGTCACTTCAACGCCTGGTCCAAATTCAGAGAGGATTCCCTGGGGGCTTACTCCACATCGAAGACCCTGCAAATGGGTTGTGGGCTTTCACCATCACCCAGAGCATTCTGTAAACTGGGCTATTCAGAATTTAAGCTTTAATACCACTCCCTCCTCTGGAGTTGGATTTTATTATTCACAATCCTTGTGCGATCTTGTATTTTGCAAATTTGTTGAATTCATCTGATAGTTGGTTGTTTGTTTTTTATTAGCCTGGTTATTTTTAACAATCTCACTGACCTACAATCCACATGTCATATGTTTCAATAGTTCAACAACATTCATAAGAGTTGTGCGACCATCACCAAGACATTTCTTTTTCCTGGTATTTGTGGTTAGCTCCCTATCTCCCATCAGCTCCCTTGATGTAACTTCCACTTAAGGATGGTCTGTCTGTTGTTGGTGCTAGATGCCATTGACTAAGTTCCAACTCACAGTGAGCCTATGCACAACAGAATGAAAACGAACCCTTTTTCATTCGTAGGGCCATGGGAAGAGTGTGTACAAGGAACTTGTCAGCAAGGGAAAATATTGTATCAACCTTAAAATATATGTGTGTGTGTGTGTGTGTGTGTGTGTGTGTGTGTATTCCCTTCTGTCCCTCCCCTACCCAAAGGCATATGTACATCAGCTAGTGTTTCTGTTGGCAGTTTCAACTTCCAGGTGCTGCTGTTTAACACGGCCCTCTGGTGGTTCCTCTGCACCTGTGTAGTTTGGCAATCACCCGAAGATGTGCCCATACTTTAAGCTCAGAGTTGGTGAATAACTCTCTGTTGGGTCTCTTGTGTCTAGGATTCCCCAGCTCACTTTCCAGGAGCTCTGCCAGAGTTCAGTTTTGAACACAGGACCCTCAAACAGGCAAGGCTTCTGGTCTCCACCAATGACGCTGTGCACGGGCCGGGAATGAACTCAGTCACGGGTACGAGGGATTCATAAATCTCCCCAGGGACAGTTCTTTCTTTCCAGTGCGGAATCCTCTGGTTTGGGCTCGCTTTTGGCCAGACTCCCTGAGGTCTCATGCATGTATGTGTACCTGAGGGATCATGCACATATCTGGATTTTACATATCTTATCTTAAAATCCTCTCTACCTCAAGAACACAGAGATATTCTGGACTCTCTCCAAAAAGTACGTTTTTGCTCCCGTACACACATTTTAGAAATGGTTTGGCATGTTCCTCAAAGGCCCTGTTTGGATTTTGTTTGGCCCTGAGTTCCATGTACACACCAACTGTCGAAGAATTAACATCGTTAGGCTATTGAATTTTCTGATCGTTAACATTTATTTCCAAACCAATTTTACTACCATGTAGTCAATTCCAACTTATGTTTCAATAAAAATTTTAACTCTTTTTTCTAAAAGGCTTAAGAGGTAGAGTCTTGAGGAAGGGCCAGAAAAATAAAACCAAGTATATAATTACTACGTCTGCTTGGTCAAGGCAAACACATGTACTTCAGGACTCTCTCGGGATTTAGGAAGGGCCTAAAGGGCCCACAGTCTGAGAAGTTGGACTTGTTGTGCAGGCTGGTTTTTCGGACACAGGTCGGGTCTGTAAGACAATACAGTGCAGAGACTAGCAAATACTCACCCCAGCCTTAACGTAAATGGGAGCAAATACCCAGCTGAGAACAAACAGCAGAAGTACAGCCTGAAACCAGAACAACAAGGAAATCAGTGTCTCTTCCAGGTCAACCAGTACATTACATGAGATACAAACGAAGGCACCATCCGTTTTGAGCTCAATAAACATATCGCTATCGGGGCTTCTACAAATAAAAGTCCCAAGCATTTTAACAAACTTAGCTATAATGCGCACAGGAACCATACCTAAAAGAGGAGGCGTTCTTCATCGGAGGGGGTTACTCGAGTCATTTTTTAAAACCAAGATGTTGAACACGATGGAGCAGCACCATGGCTTCAACAATGAACTCAAAAACAGCAACAGCTGTGCCAGTGGCCTAGGACCAGGCAAGGTATCACCTGTTACACCAAGGTTGACATCAACTCAATGGCGTCTCACGACAACATTCGTTTTTGTATTTATCGTTTGCCTGTTTTTAGATATAAATGAAGGTGATTTATAATAACACTTGAAAGACAGTTAGATCAAACACTTAAAAAGGGCGGGGGCGAATCAAAAGCCTTTCCGGGAAAAGGGAGAATAAATGACTTCAAAAGATCACCATAACTAAAATTCAATAGCTTCACCATATTAAATAAATAACTGAAGATCGTGCGGGCCTTGCTTACAAAGAAATGGGGAGGTGAGTTGTATACGTGAAGAAGAAAAGCTGCCAGGGAATGCAAAGCGGGGACGGGCTGCACAGGAAGTCTGGAATCGTCTCTGTTCTAAGTATTCTTCACTTTGTGAAGGCAAGCAGAAATATGAAGTTCAGTAAGCATGGAGTCTTCTAATATAAGTCCGCACAGATGACGGAACTTCAGAGACACTGTGGAAGG